TCCTGGTTGGTTCGCTCCCAGAGATCTTTGTTGCTGATCCTTTCCGGCCATCTGATCTTGAGTATTGAGCGAAGACATCTGTTAATGAAGGTCTGTAGCTTGTTTGAGGTGCTCTTTGTGACGCGCAGTGCAAGTCTCTGATCCGTATAGTAGTACTGACTTCACATTGGAGTTGAAAATCCCGATCTTATTTTTGACGCTGAATGATGTTGTCCTCCACACAGACTTCAGAGTAATGAAAGCTTGCCTTGCTTTCCCGATCCTTGCTTTGATATCCTCGTCAGTTCCGCCTGTAGTTGAAACAATGCTTCCCAAGTAGGTAAAGGAGGTAGTTTCTTTCAGGTTTTTTCCATTTATGCTGATTGCTGTCTGCTGTTGTTGTTGGTGTTGGCCAGGGATCTTCATCACCTCTGTTTTTTCTATGTTCACCTGGAGTCCTATCTTTGATGCTTCTTCTGCCAACTTGTTACTTTTCACTTGCATATCTTCCAGTTTGTGGGAAATCAGGCATATATCATCGGCGAAGTCCAGATCCTCCAAGTTCTTTGTGTGAGTCCATTTTATGCCTGTTTCCTCATTGCCCGCTGTTTGTCGCATTATCCAGTCTACTGCAATCAGGAAAATCATTGGCGATAGTAGGCAACCCTGTCTTACTCCTGTCTTCACTTCGAAGGGTTCCGTGAGCTTCCCGTTGTGGATTACTTGGCATGCAGCGTTGTCATACAACTGTTGGATGAGATGTATAATTGTCGGCGGCACCCCGTAGTAGCGAAGTAGTTGCCAAATCACCTCTCGATCGACGCTGTCGAAGGCCTTTTCAAAGTCGATGAAGTTGAGATAGAGAGGTGACTGCCATTCCAAACTTTGTTCAATGATGATCCGTAGTGTGGCGATTTGATCAATACATGACTTGTTACTCCTGAATCCAGCTTGTTCTGGTCGAAGTTTTTCATCCAAGGCTTGTTTGATCCTTTCCAGGATGATGCGGACAAAATTTATTGTTCATAATCATATCAATTATAATCACACGACTTTGACACTTGAGTTTTATAGTCAAATACATAGGTCAACCTAGTAGAACAGGGTCAGTCAGACTAGCTGAACATAAAAAACTTAGCAAAATCTAGATTGGTTGACCCGAATAAGATAAGAAATCTAGAGAGTAGTTTAGCTGGCTATAGCACTACATGCAATCACACACTACCATACAATAGGATGGCGGGATACGATGACAGTTTTAAAATCTAATGTAATTGGGTGGAGGGAAAGACTGATAGTGGAAGCTTTGTTTATCGAATCAACTGCAAACACGTGTAATAGGAATGATTTAACACCTATCCACTCGGACATCTGGAAAATTGTACTACTCCTACGACGACAAATAGCAGAGAACATAAAAACTATAGAACTCAAGTTTCGAAGTCGTGTGATCACAATTGATATGATTATGAACAGGAATAAATTTTGTTCGAAACGTCATCCAGTAAATAATACTGTTTCACTGTGTGATATACCTAATAAACAAACTAATATAGAGTCACTCAATTCACTTATTTAATTTCTAGTTTCTACCCAATTAACGCACTATATATTACGTAATTTGTCATCTGAGATTTACAATTCTAATAACACACCTTTGGAATTATTCCTTTTGTTGCTAAGACAATTTACCATATATATGTGCGATTGTACAGCTTGATACTGATATCACCGAAAAGAGTTACCTTCCGATGAGCGCCTTTTCTTTTGTATAACTCAGTAAGGATTTTCAAGTTGTTTATCTGTTTCCGTTTACTATCATGGCCTTAAACTTCCCTTTCCTTTTTCAAAACTCGAACAATAACTTGGTATGTGATCTATATTCATTCGGTTTTCGCCTCCATCTCATTTTTCCCTTTCAATCACTTTTTTTACTTGAATAAAGACCGCTTTTCTGTAACAGGAAAATGATCTCATAAAATAGATTTAGGCACACTTAGTTTTCTATAAATAGGTGGCCAAACAAACTTAAGAAATATTAAAAAAACACACTAGAAGTTTAATAGTCACATCAACTGGTCACCATGGTGGAGCCAGTGTCGAGTGTCAACACCTTAGTAGTAAATGTGCCTGTCAGTTGAATTTTCAGCGTGGTCACCAGGCTACATGATTCACTGTTACGAATGAAGTTCGTATACATCCCACTTTTTTACAGATTAGTTTATTCATGAAGAGTTTTGTAATACTGAACAGGTATTGGATTGGTTTCCTTTTCAACTCTGAAAACGTTTTTCCCGATATTTATTCATCAGATGGATTTCTAGCTCAGAACTTAGTCACTGAATAATTACTAACAGTTTATCATTTTGATTAACTTATGCTGATTACATCTGAAATTTGATTTTTGGCGTAAGTGAGATAACACTTTATTATAATTTATATCGGTATCAAAAGTTAAAAGTTCAACAGGCTGACGTGGTTCTCAGATTCAGTGGATATAATAAGTACATCTTACACATATAACTATGTTTATATAACCCTTTAGATTTCACATTATGACTATCACCTACACACAGTCTTTATCGAAGATCACTTTGAGAGTAATGAACTGTGATCATAGCAAACTCGCTTATTTAATATTTCAAATTCTAACCTCTTTGGTTTCGAAAAAATGAAATGAGTTACTGATAAGTGTATATATACTTTCGCCCTTTCATTTATTGATAATAAATCTTTCGAAGTTGTTTAGAATGAACACCTGTCTTCAAAAGCCACTCACAATTCGAACAGGTCATGCTTAATTTCTCTGACTTCAGAAATTGATTTTTGTGGATTACAGTAACTGAGAAGACACAACTTTACAGATAAACCTTGATGGTAAGTTCAATAACGCACCAAACTTAGTTCTAGAGTAGCATGATGAATCCCTTTAGTTAACTAACATCGACTTGAAGTGGAATGCGATGACGAACCAATAAACCTGTTGACAATATTGCAAACTTGACTGATACAATAACGTCAATACCAACATCAACGACTAGAAACATGACATTCCTTACTTGCTAATGTGACAAACTGATGCATCTGACACAGTCAGTCGTAAGGTATCTGACTGTAGTCCCCTGTGATTTGGGTTCAAATTTATTAATTAGGCAGATATATCATTCTGATGGCTGATAATAAGCACGAAACTTTGGTAAAACTCTTCTTGCTAATCATCTAAAATTACCTGACATCAATAAAACCATATTGTTCAGATGGTAATTATAACATTCAAATAACACACATTTGTTGTACGACTGTGTGCCCAAAATACATTGATTGTGAATGACACACTATTAATATTGTTTATACTACAAATTGACGTGACCTCAACATGTGAAGTGGATGGAATGGGAACGGTTTCCGTGCTATGGTAATTGCAGTACTTTTAATTCAGAAGACGATTAATGTGGCAATTGTGATAATGGTTGTTATGTTAAATTAAAACGTCTTTTTTGAATAGAATAGAAAGTTAAACATAATAGTTACATGTGTCAGTGAACATGAGCAATATATTTCCTTTGCGAAAAATAATTAACAACCCACGAGAATGTTACTACCAGAGCCAAAGTCCTTCAGACTGATATTTTCTCATTTTACCCATCTTTATATTCAACGCTGGGATCACTTCTAATGAGTACACTTAATTGTATTTGTCTGTAAACATTCAGCTTCATTGATGATCATCTAAAAGTATATTTACGTCATCTTGGTAAGCTTCAAACTTCAACATAAGTCTCCTGAAAATGTTAGAGGTCACACTATTAGCAGCTTTGCCCACAAGGAACTCCTTTCGAAATACATCCAGTTAACCACTTTATATGTTACATAAATAAATGAAAACAGATGCGCAGACCATTCTACCACCGGCACCCGACCCAACAGCTCATGAATTCCAACTTCTACTAATTCGTGATTTTAGCGCGACCACATGCCAATATAATCAGCCAGCGAGCATTTGTTCTCACGCCCGACATGATAGACTCCACTGACCACGACTTCTCAGTGGAACTGCGGGCAACTGTGACAGTCACCAGCTGGCATCAGATTCATTTTCAAGTGTTGATTCATGAAGATCTGATTTGTTTCAGGTTCGATCAAGAGTTGACATCAGTTATAAAATCATTAGAAAAGCAGTAAGCAATAGACAGCTGTTACGTCCTAGTTTTGGGACGAACTGGTAGAAGTTGGAATTCATGGGCCACTGAATCGGGTCCCAGTGGCTTTTGTTCGAATCCCAGTGGGCTCGTATTGATGAAAAGTGTCAGAACTAATACGAAACAGCTGTCCAGCACTTACTGGCTTTACCATCGTCTTCTTACTGATGTAAATTCGTGACCAAACTTGAAATAAATCAATTCTCTACAAACTAACTTTCGGAAACAGATTCATTCAAAGGATCATCAGTGACTGTTTTTGAAATAAAGCCACCCATTCTGCTTGAAGATCTCAAAGAGAATTTTCAGGAATTTCTGGCAACTATGATATATATTCATTAGAAACATGCTTTGTGCTAGTAGTGTCACTGAAGTTTACGTTTGACGATTACTATATTGATTCAAAACTACTACCTTCACCTTTAAATCAATCAAAACTATCGAATTACACTTCTTGAAAGTAAATACACATCACATTTCCCTAGAATAAATATTTTCTACGCAACCCTTTTAATCATAACTAATTGTCAACATAGCCTGATCAGCATGATGTCTATCACGGTGATTCTTTCTCAGTGTTTAAGTTTTATAAAAAAAGCTTCACTCCATCTATCTGTAAGAGTGTGTATCTCTCACTTTTTCAGCTTTGTGACATTCTTACTATTGTCATAATAAACATCATAATCGTCGCCTGTGTCAATATTTTTGTCATATACTATATATATATATAAAAACAAAAAATAGGCGGTAAAATGAAATTTTTGAAAAAGATAATACCCACATTGAAAGGAATTAACTGCGGCTGAATAAAAACGAACAAAATGTATTGTAATTGTATGTTTCTTTTTAGTAACTAAAACATTTATTACTTATTTTAAAATTAAAAATAGAGAGAAATAAATGTAAAACTGGTAAAACAAATCAGGGCTGGGGTGTGTGTGTGTTGTAGTAGACTTTAGTAACCATTCACCAATACACCGCCAATATAGGCTTAATATGTGGATATATTTCTACCTTCTGCGGGGAATTTATATTAATTTTTCATCTAGCATACATCGTATAATAAGGAAGAGGGCAATGATTATAATAGTTCTATTAATAATAGTAATACTGATTCATAGATAAATTCTTTTGCAGCATGAGTAGGCAACTCACTGAATCATTTAACATGTTACTTAATATGTTTTCAAGGCTTAGCTTTGTTTGCAGTTTTTAAAGATATCTAAATTCCTTAATAAAGTAGACAACTTGTTCCATTAAGAATCAGAAATTGTTGAGTCAATTATTGAAAACAAGAAGAAAGAGAAAAAAAATAGTGTGATGGCTAACTAAATATACTCCCAGAGTTGATTTGTTGTCATTTTTTTATTGGTTGAAATTAAGATTATTATGATTACTGTTATTATAGTTTTATTTTTACTGCTGAGATTATTTACTTGGATGAAATTTTTGCATATCAAGAACTAATTCAACACCTTCTAAACAATCTTCAACTTCAAATGTTGGTAAGACAAGATCAGCTGCACCTTGAAAATCACGATGACAATAGTGTACTCTTGCTCCAGGTGTAGGCTTGTATACTCCAGTTCTGACTAAGATAGCTATTTAATCAAATATAATAATTAAGGAACAAGAAGAAATATATTAATATTACTATTATTATTAAGGTGTGCGTCGGTGGCACAGCAGTAGAATGCTCGCCGACCAAGCAGGCGGTCCGGGATTCAGTCCCCGGCCGACGTACTCCTTTACCTCGCTAAGCGAGTAATAAAAGCTGGTGAAGAGGAAAGAGTTGGGTATGAGGCTATCAACCCCATCCTGTAAAAATAAACAGTGTTGTAGAAACTTCGAGTCTCTAGCTTGAAGCCTTATGTGAAGGAACTTGGTACATTATAGGCACCAATAGATGCAGCATACCAAATCTTATGGTTTGTGCGACGGCTATGATACTGCCTGGACACGCAGACGCCGGCCACTCTCGTAGCTTTCGACTTGAAGTTTGATCAACAAGTCGTTGGAGTTGTGTCAGGACCTAGGTTCACATGGTTTCCAATGACCAAAACAGATTAATACACCAATCTATCCTTTCAGATTCTGGAACCCATGTGCATTGTATGTTTGGGAATCAGGATTTTCTACTTTCCCTTAGGTAGATTTGAATGTCCGTCATTTTGGTTGTAAGCGTCAATAGTAATTAAATGCATAAAACATTCCAGTATATGAATTGTTTTCAGTTTAACAAAGCAACAACTACAGATTTGGCCGAATAAAATGGTACCATATTTTATTTCGTCGCCTTCTCTTCAGCTGCTTACAGGGCAAAAACATTATTAAATGTATCTACAATAACAATTTAACATACTTACACAGAGTTCATTTTAAACAGAAATCAATCGATCAATATACACATACACTAATAATATATATATATATATATATGCAATATTGAACACAATTCCGAGCAATAATAATCATACACATTGAAAACTTTTCAGCATCTCACATTCGGATGGAAAATATCCAGTTACCAGGGCAAAGAAAGACTGATAACTGCTTCTTTCTGAACGCACAAATCAGGTTTTAGGCGCTTGATGGAAAAGGCCTCAGCAAACTTAAGGAGAATTGAACTCTTTTGCTTATTGATAATTTTGAACGACTTTTCGACGTCCACCTCATGACCCGTGTCAAGAAGATGCCTGGAGATGGCACTGCCTAAAGCATTTGTTCCCTTTAGACGTAAGCTTTTTGGTACATGTTCAGACACGGGTCATGAGGTGGACGTGGAAAAGTCATTCAAAATTATCAATAAGCAAAAGAGTTCAATGCTCCTTAAGTTTGCTGAAGCCTTTTCCATCAAGCGCCTAAAACCTGATTTGTGCGTTCAGAAAGAAGCAGTTATCAGTCTTTCTTTGCCCTGGTAACTGGATATTTTCCATCCGAATGTGAGATGCTGAAAAGTTTTCATTGTGTATGATTATTATTGCTCGGAATTGTGTTCAATATTGCATATATATATATATATTATTAGTGTATGTGTATATTGATCGATTGATTTCTGTTTAAAATGAACTCTGTGTAAGTATGTTAAATTGTTATTGTAGATACATTTAATAATGTTTTTGCCCTGTAAGCAGCTGAAGAGAAGGCGACGAAATAAAATATGGTACCATTTTATTCGGCCAAATCTGTAGTTGTTGCTTTGTTTAAATTCATTAAGGGGAACAAATGTTTCGTTTCATGTGGGCTTTTGGAAGTGAATTACTTTAAAATTCTTAGTTCTGATATTTTTCTTGATAATATGAACCTAATAGATGATTTAGCCTGCATCTAGGTATTATTTTTAGTGAGACTTTACTAGGTTGTTAATTTATCAATAATAATGAGGCATTTCTTATTCAGTTATTTAACATATACATTTCTGTTGGTTTGTTTCTTTTGGTTTTTTTCTGTGTATTGCTTTTACAAGATATCCTTTTGATTCTTAATACTATGGTAACGTTAGAGACAATGTCATGATTTATGTAGAGATGATATTGAATTAAGTATGCGGTTTTTGCACTTACCGTTTTACTTTACTTACAAGCTAGAGTGAGTTTTCCAATCACTACATCCCAGCATAACTGTTCAGAGTTTCATTTTCTCACCGTACTATTATTTTACTATTATTCTCTGGAGTTGCAAGTGGAGCATAGGGATTCAACAGCATATCTGCATTTCATCCATGCCCGCAAGCTCTCATCTTCTCCTCGCACGGTCTCTTTTATGTCACCCTCGGACCCATACCCAGCTCACTTATTCCCACTTTGATTAAAATTGGGAGACTGGTGCTTGATTCAATCAACCATCTTCACAGAGTAAGTCCGGTTCACCTCCACTTCCTTCTGCATATTTGCTAGGCATTCATCCATTCCACCGTCCAGAGTTAAGATATTTGTCATAAGTCAACTAATCAATTGGTCAGAACAAGGATCTTATTACTATTTAGCAGAGGTTATAGTCGATCTAAAGTTGCACAAATACTTATAAGGTAGCTTGAGTCTCCACCAAACACTAAGTCTCATCGATAACTAGACTGTTCAGAAAGCTACTATGAACTAATCTTGTCCGGCTTGAAGACTTTAAGTCAAGGTGGAGGGTCGTGGGATTTTCAAAAAAATTAATTTCACAAAGTATCTTGCCGTACCTGAATTTATTCTTCTACATTTTGTAACATACCAGGTGCTAGAAGATACTCATTAGGATCCAGTACATCATCTTTCCCTTTTCCTTCTTAACATTCATTGGCTTGAAGTAATCATGTGTGGTAACCTTGTCACTAAGTGGAACCTAATAAATTTTTGAAGTAAACTTTGGTTTCCTTTAGATTAATGAGTGTAAATATCAGTAATCCCCGGAAAATATAACACAACAAAGTTTCCTGACAGCTGATTAATAATGATCTACTTCAGTTTCAAGAGCATTCATGCTATTTTATAAGTCGTCATTGTATAAAATGAAGTAAAAGTCACTTACAGTCAATTCCTCTAGCAGTTTGAGGTAAAAATGCTGCATTTGGTGGTACAGTACGCGAACCTGCAACAGAAACCTTTTGATATTGACTGTGTCCTTCACCTGGAGATTTATCTCCACCAGATAAATGACGAAATCGACGTAAAAAGTTATTGTATAGATTCGAGCCTAAGACATCGACATCTGGATTATCTCTGTAAGGGAAAATAGTAAATGGTAATTTAAATTCTTCCTGTATTAAAAGTTATTACAATATTATTATTGTCCGTTCGGATTACGAGTGGAATATAAGGCATCAGAGGCACATCTCCATCTTGTCCTATTCTCTGTGGTCCTCTTAAGTTGGCCCCACGATTGCCTACAGTCTTTCATCTCCTCCTTTTACGATCTCCTCTTCGTCACCCTTGGACTAACGCCCAACTCGTCGTCTCTCATTCGCGTTCCACTCGGGCACTGGCTTGGCATGTGATGTCACTCAATGGCCTTCTCAGCTTGTGTCAAATCCATCTACATTTTCTTCTACATATTTGTCGAGAAATAGGTTCCTGATTGGTTCGTTCCCAGAGTTCCATGTCTCTAATTATTTCTAGCTATTTGATCTTCAGTATGCAGCGAGGGCAGCTGTTGATAAACGTCCACAACAGTCTGTTGGAGGTGCTTTTCGTGCTTCACTCTCCAGGTTTCTGACCTATATAGAAGAACTGAATGACTTCACTTTGGTGTTGAAAATTCGAATTTTATTGTTTATGCTTAGTGTAGAAGATTTCCAAACTGATTTCAGAGTGATGAAGGTTCGTCTTGCCCTCCTAATTCCCCTTTTGACATCCTAATCGGTGCCGCCTGTAGTTAAAACGATGGTACCTAGATAAGTGTAGGAAGTAATCTCTTTCAAATTTGTCCCGTTGATACTTACTGGTGCTTGTTGTTATTATTATTATTATTGGTTGGTTACCTTCATCACCTCCATCTTCTCTATGTTTGCTTGAACTCCTGTCTTCTCTGCTTGTTCTGCCAGTTTGTTGGTTTTCGCCTATAAGTCTTCGAGTTTGGTTAAAAGAGATATTTGTTTATAATTTCTAGCCTGACTGATATTATGCTGGTATGTAATAATAAGAGATCATGAATTTTGGTCAGTTACCTTCTACTTACATAGAAACACACATTAAAACACGTATGTGTTAGAAAACTTTACAAAAATTAAAATATTCTTAATAAGGGTAGTCATTTTTGTGGGATAAACGATTCACATCTGTTGTAAATCTGTCAAGAAGGAGTATCTGAAGTCATTAGGCAGCACATGTGTCCTGCATTTCGATGTATTTCTTTTCGGCTTATTTTTTTCATTTTTCTTTTATGCTTTCCATAATAATCATGTCAGATTTCCTTCACTTCTCTTCTCTGGAAGTTAATCAACTTTTCGTATGTTTATGACCATTTTTAAAGATGTAACACTGAACAGAACTGATGGATTTTTATTGATAGCATATATATTACATAATGGCAGATATCCTATGAAGATATGAGATACTTGCAAGTGAATTAATTGTTAGGCAGTAGGCAATTTTAAATAATTATTCCTAGATGCCAATCAAAATCTACCGAATGGTAATAACAGTAATGATGCTTTCATTCTCGATAGTACGTTATATTCAGCACAGAATTTTCAGTGTTTTCTTGGAGAATGTCTACTTCTTGGTGGGTAAAAGTCAACAACCATCTGAATCAAAGTTGGGATATTTTCAGTTGTGTTTATATCTTGCAATGCCAGCTCTGGGAGAACTGTACTGACGGCAACTTAACTTGACTCAAAATTAATACCACTGCTGGAATTGTCAAAAGTGATCGATCTCCCAGAGCTGCTGTCGCTAAGATTGTGTGTACTCAGTCGAGTTACTTCTCATGAATGTGAATTACGTTGAGTTATATTCGTGTTAGAAAACATGACAGAATTTTCGATCCAAATGTTTGATTATTTTCCAGTAAGGTTGTTGCTACGTGGCATCTGACATAGAACAGATATTTAAATTTGAAAAGATTTGGGGAGAAGGATGTCATCCGAAACCTCTCTTCCAACGAAACGTCGTCCAAGATACTCTGACATTTTTTGGACATCAATAATAAGGTCAATAGTCTCGCTTAAAACAAGCTGAAAACTTTGCTGACTATGAGTATAACTGAGAACTTTGTTAGGCGTATTCGACATCAGCTGTGATGTAAGCTCATATTGTGTTTGACGGTGTTGAATAGCATGATTGAAAGCGAAAAAAGGAAGTGGACGACACTGATGTGTAGCAGGATTCAATGACATCTTTGGTCTTGCCAGAGAAAACGTCTTCTCAGACAGTTTGTCAGACAGCGTTGGTTGAACTTCATCAAATGTAACCGGTGCGTCTCTGGTATGGTTTGGTTTTCACTGCTGAAGGGTTCCAAACTGGAACAGACACATCTATCCATCACTGCTTGGTTTTGCACTGATTCTACAACTGACACCAGTTCGTGATATAACGCGCAGTGAAATTAAATTAAGTCACATTCATTTTAAAATGACCTTGGCAATAAAAAGTGAGTTCTGAACAGCTACTGTCTTCTTAAATGCTTATCTGTGCCTATGAACATTAACTTGTGAGAGTAAGGAAGGGAAGAGTTGCAAACACTTGACCATGTGAACTAGTAAAAACTACCTTAACTCAGGTCAGCACTTCAGTAAATTAGTGAGGCATTCATTTACCTGGAGTACACCGAATCAATAATAATGATGATAATAATAATCAACTCATGACACTTTTGTTGCTTGGTTCAGTTCACATCTTTTTGTGTTGTCAAGGTTAAGAGACCTAATAATCTTTAAGAAACAATCAATAATATGATAAAAGTTGGCTAATTTTGAATAAATTTCTCTTTACCCTTGTTTCATTTTGTTAAAATTATAAAAGAAGTTTCATTTTATTGGAAATTGATTATACTGTGCTGATATGTGTGACGTTGAGATTAATAATTTCGAAAAAAACAAACAATGATTTTATGATTGTCATCGGATGGCGGTATGTATATACATAAATATTCTATTTTTCGAGCCCTTGTATTTTAGACAGACAAAAGGATCTTAGGCTATTGAAAACTTTATTTTTTTATCGAGTCTTATTTCGTCAAAAGCCGAAGTTACTTAGTTAGTTAGTTAATTCTAGTCTATGGCTCGTGACTGCTCATGTGATTTGATCTGATTTTTTTTCCTTCACGTCCCCCAGTGGAACATAGGGCTTCAAGCTAGTGGCTTGAAGTTTCTGTAGCAGTGTATATTTTACAGAATGGGGTCGCTAGCCTCATTCCCAACCCTTCCTCTTTACCAGCATTATTCCTGGGTCAGCTAGGTAAAGGAGTGCGTCGGTGGCCGGGGATCGAATCCCGGACCATTTGCATGGTCGGCAAGCGTCCTAACCGCTATACCACCGAGGATTTGATCTGATTGATTCTATGATTATGTTTAAGCCTGAGGAATTAAGAAATCTTAAATGTGACCTTTTAACAGAGCTGTGGATACATTTAAGATGAAGAAATTTTGTGTTGGTGAGTAAAATATTTATCCAGTGTTCCTAGCTATCCATGCTAGCTTACTGTTTGATGTATGTATTAAGGGTAAGGTTGACTACGAGCATAAACTGAAGAGAATCTTAATCTCAATGTTATCTGACGAAGTTTGACTGAAATACACTAGTGATTTATTTGTAATCTAAAAATATTGATCGGAAAATGCATTCTACGGAAAGCTGAAGGCTAAAACTTCCAATTTTACATGGTACTTACTAACAAATCTAATCAAATTTGAGTGGATTACCTTGCCTAAGGGAATCATTTCAGTAAGAAAAAGTGATATCTCAGTAGGACAACACAATGAAACATTGTTCTAGAAATGGTTGTGATTACGATTACTGTGAAACTGTAGATTACATAAATTCTCATTCCACACAGCGCCCATACACGGAACAATATCAAGACTGTACTGCACAGAACCAACAAGAAGTGTTATCTTTAAAGTTTCGATAGCACTGAAAAGTACCTTTTGGAAAGTGGACGCCTGAGAATGCGGAAGTTAGTGCTGATCATTTTACCAAGCCTAACTGTAAAACCTTTCCAATCAGATTTCAAGTCTTAAAGAATATCAGGAACGGTTTCCGCCTAAGTCTACATAAAAGGCAACATCTGAAATCATTTTCTATCTAATTGCTTGTTAACTGAAATGGGTAGAGTGAAAATCAGTAAAAAGCTGGCCAACCGCTCAAGTGGTCTGTGGTTCAATCCCCCGGAGATGCACACATTAACCTCGCTTAGCCGATAATAATCCCAGTAAGGAGGAATATTTGGGCGTAAGGCTTACAACCCCAACCCACAAAAACACCACTTCTACTCAAAATTCGAAGGTCTAACTCTCAAGCCATATGTTCCACTGTGAACAATAAACACGAGGGAATCAATATTTCAAAATCACTGTTTGAGAAAAAGTTGAACACCGTTGTATTTCCATCTTCTTTTCAAATATCCCATCAAAAGTTTGAAAAAAGTAGCCTTAACTGTGGGTTAATATAGTACAGGCTTCAAATTATACAATTTGGTTAAGTTTCTATAAACTTTTATAAAATTAATGTTACCAATAGATGAGATGATGAGATTGTTCCTTACATCATACACGTGTAATTGTTTGGCTCAGTTGGCTTTCAAATCTAATCCTCTGATCATATCTATTTTCTGTAAACATTACTTAACTATGGAAAATACTTTATATGTAAGGAATTTAATTTAGCTATAAGTTATGCCTGTCTTTATTATGATTTTGTAAAATTAATCAGCATGAAATAATAATAATAATAAATCATTAGTGAATACAATCTTCAGAACAAAATAAAATAATAATTAGAGTGAACAATTGTTTACAATAAACTCTTCTTCAGGCTCTACAATTATAAATCCATTAATTTTAGCATACAGTAGCCAGTAAAGGTAAATTAGAATTCTATCATAGAGTGTATCGTGGAACAGGTACGAGATGGAATAATAGTCAGCTAGCTAGTGACTTGCTACAGGACGGAGTTCCCTGCAGTTCTAGTGAGAAGTCGTGACCAGTGACGTCCATCCAGTCAAGTGTGAGGATGGATTTCCCACCGATGACATTGGTTGGTGGTCGCGCTAAATCACGAATTGGTAGAAGTTAGGATTCATGGGCTGGCCATTGAGTCAGGTCCCAGTGGCTGGATGGTATACGAGCTAGCTTGCCTTGTAACCGGAAGGTCCTGAGTTCGAACCATGTCGGTGGGTGCGTGCTGATGATGATTCCCAAACTAGGATGAAACAGCTAGCTAGTACTCAAGTGCTGCTTTTTAATGGTTCTTTAACTGATATCAAACCGTAGTCAAACTCGTAAGAAATAGTCGTTCAGAATATGCATGGCCAATAAGAACATGAGGTAAAATAAGGTGAAATTATTCAGTGATGTGTAGGTATATGAAGTCAACAAAAGTACAGGTTTCAGGGATGAGTGTATTCAGTAGTTTGTGAGACTGTGTGAATAATACGGAGAAATAAACCAAAAAATGGGATAGACTAGACTTAAGTTCAAGAGTGAAATAGCAATAATAATGATGATGAAATAATAACGATAGTGTGGTGTAAACTTAAAAGTACTATTAGTGAACGATTATTGAGTAATAATGAGGTTGAATGAACAGGATTGTGTAAATATAACAAAAAGTTTTTAAAGCTTTACGTAAACGTAAGTTGACAGATATAATAAGAAAGGTCATGAATTTATAAAAGGTCTGAAGTATACGTTTGTCAGTGGAACAAGGGAAAAAAAAGAAAAACATTGGATATGAATTTAAAGTGCCAGTGTTTATAAAGGATTTGTTGACTTTATTGTAGGTCAAGGTAAACAAAGTGGTTGGACATACTCTTTATATACAGAGACCATGTCTTATGGTTTTGACTACTACAGCCTCAGCTACTAATAGAAGACGTAGTCTAGCTCCATTACACACAGATAATCAGGAACACCGGTGATAACCAAGAACGTCTGCTTTGGTTCTGTTGAGTGCACAGTATCTACTAAGTGAGCTAAAACTGGATTGTTTACGCATTTGGTTTCCCCTTTACTCCACCATATAGGTGAATGTTCACGTGCGCTCATGGATGAAGTCCTCTGAGTACGGCCAATGCAACTAGTTCCATATTAGCAGTTAAATTCATAGGTATAAATTGATGAAGCTGTCTTTGGTAATTTATCCTTGACTCGTTGTGTGAGTATCAGTTTAGCTGCCGAAATCATTCCTTCTACTGATGTATTAAGTCGACATTTTAGAATGTCTGCTGCAATCTCCTTTTTATAACCTGACTTAAGATACAAAGGTTTCTTATTTACGGTATCCATCGTTACCCTATCTCTAGGTATCGACATATGCTTTTTTAAAAACTTTCTGTGCATATCAGCTTTAGTGTAGTGTAAGTTTCAGTTTACACATTTCTTCCTTAATGCCTTCGTCTGAGGATATGGGTTTTATTCTATAACTAAGGTACTTAACTAAATTCCTTTTGTATTGATGCGGTATAAAGCTATGAAAATCAGGAAATAGATTTCTTTGTAGATATTCGTCTGTCTTCTTGGTGAGGAGAACGTCTTGTACTTGTTTCAAAATACATTTTCTGATAGAATTCTAACTTGCCTTTACTGGCCATTGTATGCTAAAATAAATGCATTTATAATTGTAGAGCCTAAAGAAGAATTCACTGAGCAACTGTTTGCTGTAATTATTTTTAATCTGAATGAATTATGGGGATATTGCAACACAACCTTGTTTTGCTGTGTTTACTTGTTTTAGTTCATAAATACAAGAGTTACATGAAAAATGAGATGTATATTATTTACCAAAAACACCTGAAATCATCAGGTTTGAAGCTGGTTTGTATTGTTGAGAACATTTCAAGAACATTTCATTTGTGCCGTTGGAAGTAGTTTCGGATGTTCATAGAGTGAATCAGAGAAAACAATTAATCTACGATGAACACCGTTTATTGTACACTGAAGGTTAGGTTAAGCCAAAAGTCACATAGTCATAAAATGTACTACTAATACTTTTAGTATTGTGCGCCAGCAGTTTGTTAGTAGAATGCTGGCCGATCATACAAGACACTTAATTCAGCAGCCAACAATAGAGAGAAAGTTAAGTGTGAGGCTAGTAACCTCGCCCCGTTAAAAACCGCAAAAGCTTGGAAGCCCGTATTCCACTTGGAACACAAGGGATCAGACAAAAACGCTGGTAATATTATCAAGAACTTACCCTAAAAAGTATAAACGATCAATCGGTCTCTTGTATCCCATTCGTTTCGATGTTAAATTCAATATATGCTCAGCAAAACGAAATGTAATTTCACTTGGTTTACCCAATAATGATGTATAACGTAATTTATAACCAGTTAATTGTTGATATAAAGTTTGTAAACAGACTAGAAAGGCTCCATGACCAAACCTTGGTAAAGCAGCCTTATCCATATATACTAAATCCATATTACATGCAATTATTGGTAAGTGTTCTTCTGGAAATACTTCAGGTACTTCATCTGGTTTACCATCAGTCATTAATAAGTCGACTAATAATTGTAAACTTGATTCCCATCGTGCTGGTTCACCGGTTAATATGATGACTGAAATGTAATAAAACAAAAAGCAAAGGCACAGAAAGTTAAAACAACGTAAAAGTAATTGCTAAATTTTAGGATAAAAATCTGTTATTCAACTCCGAATGTTGTCTAATTTCTATCTAAGATTAGCCTATAACCGTAAAATAAGTTAGTTAGCAGTTATCGCGCCGTCATGGTGCCCTTTTTATTTCCTGCTGTTTATGAAGGCTTGATTCTCAATGGTTGCTAGCTCTTTAAACTAAACACTCAAATTAGGTATTTAACAAGATAGGCTGGAGGATTTCATCATGAGCTGACATCGGTTAGAGAATCACTCAAAATCCTGGGAGTAATGGATATCTGTTTCGTCCTAGTTTGGGACTCTTCATCAGCACGCGCCCACACTGCGACGTTCGAACCCAGAACCTTCTGGTTACAAGGCTAGCGAGCTCGTAGACCATTAAGCCACTGGGACCCAATCCAGTGGCCAACCCATGAATTCTAACTTCTGCCAATTCACGACACAGCGTGACCACTAGCCAATTTCATCGGCGAGTATTCGTCCTCACAGACAACCTGCTGCACCTCACTGGTCAAGACTTCTCACTAGAACCCCAGGTAACTACCTACCTGAGTAGGGCCAGTCACTAGTGAGTATCAGGTTGATATTCAAGTGTTGATTTGTAGGGATTTGATTGGTTTTAGGAGTTCATCATGAGCTGACATCGGTAAGAAGTCGTGGACAATGGGGTACAGTAAGTCGGCTGTGAGGATGAATACTCGCCGATGAAATTGGCTAGTGGTCACGCTGTGTCGTGAATTGGCAGAAGTTAGAATTCATGGGTTGGCCATTGGATTGGGTCCCAGTGGCTTAATGGTCTACGAGCTAGCTAGCCTTGTAACCATAAGATCCTGGGTTCGAACCCCGAAGTGTGGATGCGTGGTGATGAGGAGTCCCAAACTAGGCTAACGAAATAGCTATCCAGTACTCCCAGCTAGTTTTCCAATGGTTCTCTAACCGATGTCAGCTCATGATGAAATCCTCCAACCAATCAAACAAAATCCCTACAAACCAGTACTTGATATCTGACAAGATCATTCAGAAGGTGCATATTCAGCATTATTGTTAGGCGTTTTGACTGTTGTTTGAGACAGTTGAAGCTGTTTGGTAAAATTTGTCCCTCTTGTCTCTTTATTGTTTTCCTTTTTGATGTTACTATTATGTTTGTGATTGACGTTGCTTCTAACAATTAGAGTAGCTTTAATTAGTGCATCAGTTTCGTTATGTTCTCATTTGACTTATTCATATTATCAATCACATCACAGTTTCAAGCAGAATCAATAATTAAAGCTGTTGAACAAATTATAGTAGACGAGAAAATATATACTCCTGTGAAACTACAAGTTATGAATAAGTTCTTAGACTTTACAGTTTTAGTGAAGCGTTTCCTAAATTTCATTTAAAATCAGTAATTCTGATCCAAAATACTATAGACTCTTCAGTTAATCATGCTTTTATATTGGATTATGTCGTAAATAGACGTCATTTTGAAAGTCGCTGAAAATCAAGAAGCACTATTGTTATTTATTATTATTGTTCTCCTGAGTTCCAAATGGAATATAAAGCTTCAACAGCACATCGCCACTTTGCCCTATTCTCTGTGGTTCTGCTCCACGATTGCCCATAGTCTCTCATCTCCTCCTTACACCATCACCTCCATGTCATTCTCGGACACCCGACTCGTCGTTTCTCATTCGGGTTCAGCTCGAGGGCCTGGCTCTCCATGTCAGTCAACCTCACCTAGTTTATTAGTTCGCTAATTTTCTAGACGGCCCGGAGCCGGGAAAACGAGGAATGGTTGGATATAAAGCTAGCAACCCTAACCCGGAAAATCAATCCAATCGCTACAGAAACTTCAAAGACAAGATCGTATGTTTTTAGTTTGCGACTATCCTGTGGTGCACATATACCACCTAACCAGGAATCAAAATATTCTGCCGACAAAAAACCTACAATTCTCATTTTCGTTTATTAAGATTATCCAGATGAACTAGAGTGAACTCGAATCGGACCTTGTTGCCTTCATCATCTTAACGTTGGTAGCACTAATTTCTTGTCAAACAAATTTTTTTTCGAATAATACTGAGCTAGAAAAGGGAGAATTCTTGAATAAGTTTATATAACTTCATCTGTATATACAAATTCATAGATTACAGTTATGTATTATTTAACCATGAGTAAAAGTGGAAAAAGAATTTTTTAAATCATGATAAGACAATAAATCTTCAATTATTTATCGGTATTTTTAATCTATTCAGACAGTGGAAATTTCTTATTTCAATAGTTGAAAAAGATAGTCCAGTTATCTCCCGACATAAAATGTGCTGGAACATAAGTAATACTTTTCACTTTACTATTCGCATTGAGTTTGCATTTTCTTTAGTATTTTGAGTGCGTCAGTGGCTTAGCGCCAGAATGCCCGCCAACCACTCATGAAGCCAGGGGTTCGATTCCCAACTGACGCACCCTTTTACCTCGCCAAGCCGGTATTAAGACTGGTAGAGAGGGAAGGTTGGGCATGAGGCTAGCTACCTCACCTCGTAGAAATGCTCACCATTGCTACAGACATTTCACAGCCTTAACTTGAAGCCCTATGTTCCACTGGGGACGTAAAGGAATAAAAAAGTTAGTATTTTAACCTTATAATGATGTAATTTCTTCCACTGAGACGAAATCAAAAGCTTTCTCACGTATTCCTAATAACTTACAGTGTAAAGTAGCACCACGAAGTGACACAATTCACAGACAGATTTTGACCAAGACACAGAACTATAGTAAAGCCCATATATATCGAGAATTCTGATGGCGAACAAGCCAAAAATCTCCTTCCCAACAAATATGCAGAAGGAGTTAAAGAAGAGGAGACCACCAAGTGATATCAAATGCCAGTCAGGCTGTCAGTGGAACACGAATGTAAAGCGGAGGGTTTCACAGTGTGACTCAAGGACGATCATGTGAGAAGAAAATAAAAGTTTGTGGGCAATCGCTAATCCAGATGAAAGTGATGGCAGGGAACCAAGCACAATACAGATAAGCTGCTAATGCCCTACTTTCATGGATCAGTTACCGCACAAAAATAAATATAGCTTTAAAGTCCTTGAGTTCAGTTCATATTCTATGGATTAGTCTATTTTCATGAGAATTATCGTCTCTAACAAGAGTTCAGCTACACCTAGTCTACACAGTCTAGACAAACTCGAAATCTTTTGTGAAACAGAGATTTCCAAGAGTTAGTTTTTAAGGATTTGATCTATTTCAAGTTTGATCATGAGTTGAAATGGGTGGGAGAACCATTGAAAACCGGTAGGGAGTACTGAACAGTTGTTTCTCACTAGTTTAAAACTCTTCACCAGCACACACCCATATTATCTCCAGGGTTAGATTATTGTTAATTTATTTCAACAAGTTAATTACTTTACACCGGAAATAAGAAACCATTCTAAACCCATTTAAATTTGGCGCAGAAAATATTTTCAGATTTGGTCTTAGTTTCTTAATAATTAAAAAAATTATCAAAATTACTTAAAATATGTGAGCACTTAAACAAAGCTTTACTGTTGTCATGACAACTAGTATCACTACAACTACTTATTAATCTGATAAGTAATGTGTTTCTTTTTCAGACTTAAAAGTTACAATCCCATATTTTAATTGCTTGAAGTTTGTTTTCAATCCAACTTTAACCTGAGATTCGTATTTATTATCATCAGAGTAAGGATAATTAGTATTCAGCTGCAGAGTATTAGTTGTTTTTTTAATTGGTAGCTTTTTCAGGCAGGCGTCAGTTAATTTGTACTATAATTAGGTTATTCTACAGTCTTCTTTTCCTCTGTCTTACTTTTCATTATAACTGATGTGACATTGATTCCGGACACTTGGTAAAAATCTGTTGTTCTAAGTAAAATAGCATACATATAATACTAGAATTTATCAGGTTATTATTGTAATTAGAAGTCATGATAATTATGGCGAAATTAAGTTGTGCTTTAATTTTGTCAATAACTTTAAGTACAATTCATTCAAGTGAATTAACAGACATTTGAATTTATACGCCAATCTTATGGTTAAGTGTTAACTCTGATTAAGTGATTGACTGAAATGCAAGCTAAAGTATGCCATTTCAAGTTGACACACTTCATATAAGCCCACATATAGAGGTAGACAGGAAACGAGTAAAAAAAACGGAAAGAAACTGTGATAATAAGAAATTTTAAGGCGGGAGAATAATTACATGGGGGAATATTGTAAATCTAGTATATATATATGCGATCACAAAAAGTGAATGCATCTTTTGCATTAAGAACGATTTTAAGTCACACCATTAACACTCTGTTGTCATTGATTCTTACTTTTTTTTCCTTCACGTTCCCCAGTGGAACGTAGGGCTTCAAGCTAGTGGCTTGAAGTTTCTGTAGCAGTGTTTATTTTGCAGGATGGGGTTGCTAGCCTCATGCCCAACCTTTCCTCTTCACCAGCATTATTTTTGGCTTAACGAGGTAAAGGGATGCGTCGGCCGGAGATCGAACCCCGGACCATGTGCATGGTCTGCGAGCGTCCTAACCGCTATGCCACTGACGCACTAGAAATACTGGAGTTAACTTATGAATTATTTTACGCCTTTAGGTTCCGGGTGGAACACAGGGCTTCAGGCTAAAGCTTTGAAGTTTCACTAGCAGTAATTTTTATTTGTACGGGGTGGGGTCTCTAGCCTCACAGCCAACCTTCCCTGTTTATCGGGCTTACTGCCAGCTTAGCGAGGTAGGTTTAGGAGTGTATCGGCCAGGGATCGAACCCCGAGCTTTATGCGTGGCTGGCAAGCATTCTACCACTGAATTACCAACCTACAACTCAAAACCAGCAAAATCATTACAGACCTAGATTTCATTCTTCCTGGGAACAAATGAAGAATAACAAACTGGGACGAAACAGATTTTCAGTACTTCCTACTTCTTAGTGGCTCTGGTGTCTGACATCAATAGAAATAACTCTGGAATCAATTAAGTCATTATCATTATTAAATTTGTCTTAATATGCATGAATAATCCATGCTTGAAACATATTACACTTATTTCTCTGTTCAAAGGTATGTTGTAATTACAATGAAAGACTAAAAGATTAAGATGTGCTGACTAAAATTTACTCTGAAACTTTAACCCGACATATACTTCATGTTTCCATGGTATACACGGTAAATAAAGTTCGAAGTGCAGCTGAATATTGCGAAATATATATGAATATATATATTCACAACTTGTATTGAACTGAAGTTAGATTAACTGTGAAATTTGTCGGAAGCCTGCAAATTGATGTTTAACTTTGAAATGCATGAGGATGAATTACTTTAACATTACTGACTTGCAGTATGACCTCACCAAATTCTCTTTAGAATCAGCAGAAATTAAATTTGAACTATCTACCTTAGCGTAATTCTCCAGGTGTTTGTTTCAACCGTCTTAATTACTTCTTGTTAAAGTAGAATACTGATTTCAGAGACGGCAGAATGGTGAAAATAATTACTGAAGTTATCTATGAATAGTACTAAGACCCTTTACGTCGTTTGATTCTCTCAACGAGTCGAGTGAAACTATATCGACAAATAAGAGTTATTACGACAAAATTTATAATTTATGTGTGTTAGTGTGCTCAAATTGAAAGTTTATTCACTGTTAAATCCTAAATAACCAAAAATAAATAAGCATCAGTCAGCATCAACTGAAGAAATTCTTCCACTTGTTTCGGTAGCATCGTTGCAGCTACAGACGGAACGGATAAAGATCTCAAAACTAGTAGTGAAAAGGCAAGGCAGACCTTCATCAATCTGAAATCAGCAGAATCTCGCAAACAGTATAAAGAACATGTTTCGGATTTCTAGCAGTAATGTCAAGTCAGTCAGTCCCTCTATGTGGTTCAGAGGCCTAGTATGTCAACAAAAGCGTTTCGAACAGACTTCAGACTTCCGTTGACACCTGCCTTCGCTCGATTCTGACGATCAGATGGCCAGAAAGGTTAAGCAATAGGAAGCTCTAGAGGCAGTGAATCAACCAAGAACCCATTGCCCAACAAATATGCAGAAGAAAATGGATACACAGTGAGGAGTCAGTGGAGTGTCATCAGGCGCAGAGAGAGCCGTTGAGTGGGACCTGTCTGGTAAACGACGAGTTAGTTTTTCATCCAACAGTGTCATGGAGGAGATCTTTTGAAGATGAGATGAGTACTTATGGTCAGTCGTGGAGCTAGCTAAAGGGGAGTGCACAGAACAGGATGAAATGGTGATGTTTTGTTGACTTCCCATGTTCATAAACATATATATATATATATTGATAGTGATGTCAGGTGTCTCTATCATGGAGGAGTGCATTCATATGGCATACCGCCCTCTTTGATCCTAGAACATAACAATTAGGTCACGTACTGTGACATCATCCTTGTGAGAATTGTCAAAGACGAAATCCGAAGAGCAGTATTATCTTCTGTACTAAACTAGGTAGCTAACCCTTGTTTAATCTCAGAAGATCACTTTTTTGTGGAATATAATGACAGGTCAAGTACACATAACTCAGCTCCTATTTCTTGTCTTTGAAAAAGTGTTGAACAATTTACAAGAGTAAATCTTAAATGCTTTTACTGACGCCTATTGATAAATGTATTGCTCATAATCAGTATTCCTTGAACCTTTTGCTTTCCTCCTGAATTAAAGAACCAAAAAAGTTGAGATAAATTAACTGCTATCCTATTATTTTTAGATTTTCATGAACGGACTCATGAACTAGTTATAAGATATGGTTATTATTCGTCCTATAGCTTCAAAATAGTGAACACAGGGCTTCAATGGCATATTCTCATTGTTTTCTGTCCTCTGGCGCCTACAACTGGCTACGAGCTATCAAGTCCTCTTCACATAGTCATATAATGTTACAGACCTGATCTTTATTTTTTGTAACGTTTGATTAACTTTCGCTTTTGTTGAAAAGATTTCAAAGGTTTCCAGCAAATGTAGTTGTGAAGGTTGTAAAGCATATACTGATGATTTCGGTGAACAGATGGGAACTAGACAAACTATTCAAGAGTGTTTCTTTGCTAAACTACAGTGATCATGGTTGTATATGCCAAGCATTTCGAGGTTGTTTATGATGTCGATCGGATCATGTACACTGATCTAAACAGTTTTGGTTTTTACAGTACATTATAGTGGAATTACATTATGAAATAAGTTAATTTTAACTTCGTAATTTGCAAATTTCACATTTTGAGGTGAGAATTCACTCCAGTTTGCTTCGGAAGCCATAACGGTTTACATAATTGCTAATAATTCGACTAACCTTCAATCCTTTTCATTGGTTTTGGCACAGGTGGATCGTTAATCTATAGAAGAAATGAAAAATACAAATGATCATCTGACACATGCATTGGTAAAAACACAGGATTTTTGTTCATCGAAGAAATTTCTTTTCAACGACTTCATTTTCAAGCTGTACAGTCGTATTTATATTACAGAAAAGGTTATTAAGTGGCACTAAATAATTGCTCAGTCAATATACATATATGTGATAAGAATAACGATAATCAAAATGTTATGCATTGGAGCTATGCAGGTGTTAACAAATATTGTGATGAAATGCATGACAGCTGGGTACTACTCGAAAAGATTGCACTGAATGGACAATTTGTCTGTTGTTTAAGTGTCATAACCGAAGCAGCAGATCCCTGGACTATTTATCTGGAAGCCGCCTCGACCTAAGTTTCTATTTTACTCTCAGTCACCATTCATTACTGAAATGATTACTTTAAAGTAGAGTCAAATATTAGAGAACATAATATAATTATTAAGTATTGATAAGGTTATCTAGCTTGACAATTTAACACCTTTCAAAAGTAAGTGAATTTTAATTCGAATTTCTCAGGATATTTCCACAACTTATGAAGATGCATTGTGTTCTAGCTGAATGTTCGGTTGACCTTTAGCTACCTTAACATCCCCATCGTTTATTGCTTTTGGTTAAAAAAACACTAACAAAATTTAGAATTCATAGGAGGCCAGTGGGATCCAACCACACTACTGAATGTTAACATCATTGCCGCGTAGTTCAGAGCTCCTGAATTCCATCCGCAGTTCTAAAGAGTCCTAAACCCAAAATTAAACAGTTACGCAGTACTCTCTGGTTTTCAGTGGTTCTCTAAGTAATGTCTAAGAACAGGGGTGTCTGCAAGCCAAAATTGTAGACAACAGTTTACGTCGACGTTTACGTCCCGAATCAGGGTCATGAGAAAAAACAATAACAAAGCCTAACCTTGAGGAACTCACCAACCAATCACAGCAGACTTAACGTGTGCAAATACGATTCACAGATATATGGCTTAACTTTCTAAGAAACGGTCACAAGCAGTACAGAATAACCTTCAGCAAGAAAACAACCAATCAGAAGGCGTTGCTTCTCTGCTGACAATAATGTACGTAAAAATCTATAAATATCTCATGATTTTCTCAATAAACGATCTTTTTTCTGGCCCTTGTCTTCTGTCGTTACAAACTTACCCTTATTTCTTTTAAACATCAAAATTATTCAGATCACACACACAATATGTTATCATTTTGACACCATGGATGATAATTTGAAAAGAGGTGAGCGATATGGCGTGATTCGTATGAGCAATTTCTTCAATTCCCACTTGTGTTTACAATACAGAACAAATTTAAACAATTAATACCGTTTTTAAGAAAGTTTTCTACAGCATTTTTTAACTGTCTCGTTCAGAAATCAACTTTGTACTCAATAATAATAATAATATAATGAGTATGCTTTTGACGTTAAGATGATTCATAACATAAAAACCTTATTTCACTTTGGAATTATTTGAATTCCTTTGGTCATTGGTATTATTATTATTATTATTGTCTTTATCTTTCATTAGTACTAAGTCTTAAATTTAAATTTATGAACGCGGAATTCTTTTAATTAAGAAAAGATATTCTATTGAAACATTGATAAGTGTTTGAATCACCTTTAAGTGTTTATAAAGCGTATAATTTTAAAGTGGTATGAATCTTATTTATTTATAGTAACACAAAGATTACTTATACATCAGTATACATATATGTATGCATATTAATTAAAGGCAGTAATAATGATGTTAAAAGTATAAATGATTCAAGTAAGTAGCTCTTATTGTTTAAATGGAAACCATGAGTATTTCATATTTTTCAAGTGCCAGGGATAATATCAACTAATCGTAATTTTATTGCATATATAAATTAGTGAGTTGCATGCTACTAATGAACTTCGTACATTATGAGAACTCATGAAAAGACAGTAGGCAGTCAACGTGGTTTTATGTACATGAATATCAGATGTTTGGAGGCGATTGGCAGAAAGCCTTGGACCTAGGTTTCGTACTTGTGGTAGCCTTGAAGAAACTCACATCCCATATGAGATTCGAACCCGGGTCATCCTGTGCTGCAGTCAGAGACGTTACTACTGGGCTGTTCAGGCTGGCGGTTGATCTCCTGTGGAAGTGTATTAGATGTTTTGATTGAACACTAGGTAGTTAGTAACTAGTGTTATGCGTCTAGTCCTTTATTTGGTGCAGACTAAATTCTATCAGTCAGGTTTGCGATGTGCCCGCCATGTTAGGTGGCACGCCATCACAGTACACTGTGAATTGTTGTTATTAGAAGGTTGAAGGCAGTTATCAGGAAGCCTTGGACCTAGGTTTCTTGTTTTTTGGCACTAGTCAGCAAGGCGCATCTGCTTGGGTGACCGCAGTTTCAATCTCATAAGGGACATCAGTTTCTTCAAGATTACAGAACCGCTTTGCTGAGAAGTGCCGAAAACCACGAAACCTAGGTCCAAGGCTTCCTGACGATTGCTCCGAACCATCCAACAACAATTCAAGGTACACTGTAATGGTGAGCCATTCGGCCTGGTGACCACACCCTAAACTGCATCAAACAATGAAGTAGACGCATGACATTAGTTGACGCCTTGTGTATGATCAAAGTATTATCACGTACTGGCACCAGCCAAAGAAATAATGAGAAACAAACCATGATTATTGAACCGATATTTCTCTCTATTTTCATACTGATTAAAGTACGAATTGGTGATTACACAGGACCACCAGGTTTTACGATATGTAAAATTCACTGATTTAAATTTCAGTGGTTCCAGATATTTTTTTAACCACAGTTGGTGCATGATGTTTCACAAGCGACAACCAGTGTGTTCAGTAAATAAAGATTGCATCACACAGAACAGATTTAATTTATTGCTATTATTATTCCTTTGGGTTCTGAGTGGAATATCTAGCTTCAACATCACGTCTACATTGCTTTCGGTTTCTGAAGTCGCTTTTAGTTGACTTTATGATTACCCACAATCTCTCGTCTCCTCCTCATACGACTTCCTCCACTTCATCCTCGGACGTCCAACTCGTTGTTTCCCGTTCAGGTTCCACTCGATGGCCTGGCGCGTAACATCACTTTACAGTCTCCTCAGCGTCTATCCGATTTACCTCTGTTTTCTTCAGCATATTTTTAAGCAGTAGGTTCTTGGTTGGTTCGTTGTCTTCGGTAGCAGCTGTTATTAAAAGTTTGAAGCCAATTGGAAGTACTCTCTGCACCATGTGGAATCACTGACGTAACATTAGTGTTAGAAATCATAACCTTGTTGAGTGCGTCAGATTTCAGCACTGATTTCACATTGATGACAGTCTGTCTTGCTTTTTCGGTCGTGGTTGGCACTGATATCCTCATCCATGCCGCCTACTTATAGCTGAAACGATATTGCGTAGATGCGTTAGAGAAATGGATCACTTCAAAATTCTCCTGTTGGTAAGGATTGCTGTATTGTGTTTCTGGTTGGATGTCATCATTACCTCTGGCTTCTCTATGTTCGCTTGAAATCCTGTCTTCGCTGCTTTTTTCCCAACCTGTTGGTTTTTTCATGCAGATCTTTTAGTTTATGTGACATTAAACATGTCACCAGCAAAGTCTAGATCTACTAGAATCTTATTTTAAGCCCGACGTATTCCTGTTTTCTCTCTCAACACAGCCCGCTTGATGATCCAGTCTACGATAATCAGAAATGTCATCGGTCTTACTAGACAGCCTTTTCTGATTCCTGTCTTTGCTCTAAAAGCTTGGCTGAGTTTATTTATACATTAAGGTTAATAAAAGTCTAAGGCACTCTATTTCCAATTTAGTTCACGGTCAGCGTTTCTCAATATCGATAAGGTTTACAGATAGTCAAACCAACGTAAGGTTTTCTTACTTTAATGTCTCGTGTATTTTGCTCCAATAAACACATGAAGTCTAACGTTGAGTAGTTTGTGGCAATCAGCAAGAAGCCATGTACCAAGGTTTCGCGCTAATAATCAGCACTAATTAGGAAGATGTATCTTCACTCTAAAAGGTTATCGGATATCCCATCAGAGATTTCAGTCGACGTCACCCAGTACTGTAGTACTCTTAGATTGTAAATGCGCTTTGTTAGCAAATGCCAAGAAACAAGAAACCTAGCCACCAAAAAACAATTTAAAATGTAGTGCAGCGGTAAAACACCTAGCTTGATGACAATACTACAAATATAACTGACCCACTGAATTCTCTCAGCAATAACATCAAGGACTATGGGGATGATAGTGGTGACTCTGTTGTAAATAGTCAGTATGAACATTAAATGTGCTCATAGGACTCTATTTCTCTTTATTCATATCTACTAAAGTCATCAGTAAATGTTATGGAGTATTCTGGTTTACAAATTCATCCTTACCTACAATTGTAAAATCTTAATACCGGTTCACTTATTTTATAATCTTTAAATTCATCCACTTCGACTCTACCACCTTAATATATCATTTTAATTATCTTTATTCTAATCATATGTGCAATATTGACTGAACAATTTCTAGTGCCACTTCATGCCGTTTTCCGTAATATAAATACGATTGTACAGTTTGAAAGAGAAGTGGTTGAAAAGAGACATTTCTTCGCTGAACGAAAACTGTGTTAGAAATATGACGAAAAAGAGTGAATTTCATAGCTACACTATTGCTCATCGGTTTTCCACATATTTCATGAATTTGGAAGGTATTACATTCGTTAACTTGCAGCATTTACCCTTGAAAGGTTTGACTTGGCTCTGTTCTGCGTGGACAAGCATCTATTCAGAATTCAGTTACTAAGAGTCCTCAGGTACTTAGTGGTCTATCAGTTAGTTTTGTAGAAGGATTTCGAAAGCATTTAATTTCTTATAAAGTCAAAATGTTTATTTACGTTAGTCGATTAGTACTGAATTAAGTCTTTCTTTTAATCAAGATAAATATTGACGCCAGTGTTTAAGTTGAATTTAATTGCTTTACTTCTAATTCACTCAAACTTACAACACGTCTTCGATTGATTTGATCAACCATATCTAGCAATGGATAGGCAGCTTTTACATCTTCCAGGGTTACAACATTTGTAAATCCAAGTCTATGCAAGAGAAAAGGATTATAAACAAATTAAACAATAGAAATAAATATATTAATTCATTGGAGATGTTCATTAAAAATTAAATAAAAAGACTGATAAATAAACAAATAATAATCTTTTCGTAAAATTCGTCATCAGCTTCTTCATTTGTATGACACAAATTAGTAGAGAAATATTCTTATTAACAACATTAATGTGGTTTTAAATTACATTGAATCAATAGTATCGATCGACCACATTTCAGATGCGTCATTAAGACAGAGAGATAACATGCATTAATGTAACACTAAACTGAATGAATATCAGATAAATTAAGGATGGTAATAGTAGAATTTATAGACTCAACAGCAAGCCACAATAACAATAGTGGTTGAACCTATTTCTTTTGCACTCAGAACCTCGGTTGATTTAGATGAATTGTAATGGCCTCTGCTTATTGCAGTATTCCTTATCTAGAGACCTTTGGTAATTTATTTTATACCCGATAGATGATAGAGAGAGACTCTTCAATGTAGCTAGCTTTGTGGCCTGTTTGGACGAGATGATTCAATGTAGAACTGCTGATGGTTCTAACAATACTCTTACTTACTCAACCACACTGGTAGGTGACCCCGGGCAGGAAAAATTATGTTCCTACAGCAACAACCAATATAAATGACTCCATAGGAGCAGTTGGATTGATAGATACAATTAAAGGTGGCTAGCCTTGATACTTCATCTTTCATTTTCGGAATTACAACCAGTTGTATGGAAAATGTGAGTTGTAGCATGTTGGCATTAAAAGTCCTTCGAATCGATTTTCTCAACTTGTTGGTAATTATTTCACTTAGTATATCACCTTTGAATTGTAGTCGTATATCTAGAGGTGCAGAAGAATTCTTTTCTACTTTAAGAAACTACCAACCTCTCCAGGTAACTTTATCCTGTATAACTCATCCTAAGTCTAGTGAATTAGGTTGGTCACTACAAAAATAAAAACTAGTATCACCTATTTCAAAGGTCTTCTACTTGACTTTAAAAGTCCAATGAATGGAGTGACTCTGTTTTGTCTAGTTAGACTACTGATAGTAGTGTAGTTTCAAACAGTATATATATATTTATATATCAGGAGGATCTCATAAACAGTTTCATTTAATTCTTCAAGTTTTTTGCTTCCCTTAGTTACTAAATCAATAAATTAATTAGCAGCGTAATCACACACCATCAGAAGGGGTAGACTGTAGAGATGTTGGTAACAAAGGTTAGCGAAACCGATATTAAAAGAATAATGTAGATTCCATCACAAAAGGAAATCAGTTAGACAACTTTTCAAATGTTGTTTTTGTAGGGATTTTGTTTGAAGAACCATTGGAAAACCTGGGAGTACAGTACAGCTGTTTCGTCCTAGTTTGGCACTTGAAAATCGATTTGATGCTCACTAGCAACTGGCTCTATTCAGGCAGTGACCTGTGGTTCCATTGGGTTGCCGTGACCAGTAGGGTGCGGCAGATTGGAGGTGAGGCAGTAACTCATCGTAGAAGACATTGCGAAGTGATCACGTTATGTTGTGAATTGGTAGAAGTAAGAATTCATGGGTTTGCCACTGAATCGGGTCCCAGTGGCTCAATGGTGTACCATTTTGCTAGCCTTGTAACCACAGAAGGTCCTGGTTTTGAACGCCGCGGTGTGGGTGAGTACTGCGGAGGAGTTTGGCAACTTTTGAAAACCAAGAAACTTTGATCAGTTGTTTTTTCCCACAGTCTGAGGGTGGGGTGAGTGGGTGGCTTTTCAACCGCCTTACCTCCCAGGCCATCTTAATCCAAGTACATGAGTAATAAGTTCGATTCTAGACTAACAGAAAAGTCATTCAATGTTTAAATAACTCAGGTTTTATTGGTCAGTGCTGGTGATTTATATGGGTGAAATCAAACTGCTCATGATTATTAGTAATATGCACAGATACCTCTTCTTCAGGGATTATCAGTTTGTGGACGAAAATTTTCCTATGTTTCCCTTTACTGTTGTCACTGCTCTCAACTATTCTCATATTTAAATATCCCCTCAATGATAATGAAATAGATGTGTGTGTACAAATTTAACTGCTTCTGTGGAACTTGTTATATAAGTCGTACTGATAAGAATTATATGTTCTTCACATATTCTGGTTTGGCTTGCAAGAAGGATAACCAAATTTAGAGATACTGCTATTTTATCTCATCTAGTGGATAGTGAGCCGTATTGAAAGAGATGAGTCATTTACGGTCGTACATCAAGTGGTGAAGAGTCCGCCTAAGTGTACGCGATTATGCTTCCTAGCCATATACTTATGTCTACAAAAAATTACATTCATCCTGTTTGTTTAAAATTTTTTTTTTCAAGAGTTGGTTTGTAAGGATCAGATTTGTTTTTATGATCACGGATTGATATCAGTTAGAGAACCAGTAAAAACCAGCAAGGAGTACTGGACAGCTATTTCATCCTAGTTTGGGACTCATCGGCAGTACGCACCCACCACCAGGGTTCGGACCCAGGACCTTCTGGTTACAAGGCAAGCTCGCTTACCATTCAGCCACTGTAACTCGGTCCCGTGGCCAGTGCATGAATTCTAACTTCTATAAATTTGTTTTATCTTAGCCTACCATAAGGTCATCAGTGAGGCAATCATCTCATACTCGCATGTCTTTCTTATTCCTTTTCATCTAGTGTAATTCAGAGATAGTTGTCATTATTATTTGTTAACCTTCTTAATATAACTAAGCTTATCACGTCTGTACTGTTTGATTACAATTCACAATCTAACCTCTTTATTTGATTATTAGCTTTGTTATCATTCAGCCCTCGAACTTACATTCAGTTTGCCTCACTTGCTTGTTTGTATCTTTGTGATATTCATATTTCCCTCACACTCTTCCTGAAACTGACATTTTGTTGATTCTAAATACATTAGTATGTCACCTAATTGTTTATTTACATTTTATCTTATGTTCTGAATGACTGTACATTTTAATATGCATTAAATTGACATCGTTAACGGACGGGCTATTATTTCATTTTATACTTGCACCTAAATACTGTTTCTGATATAATTTTCATTTGCCTTTACTGACTGGCTATCTGCATTCTAATATTTATGGATTTATAACTGAAAAGTTTGAAGAAATTATTGAGAACAACTGTTCCCTCAGAGAGAAATTTTTTCTCAATCTCATAATTTATGAACATAGGTAGCAGAAAGTGCTTGTTTAACTTAATATGTATCTTTTTTGGTTAATAGTGGTTAGCAGTGGAATGCGGGACGTGCATTTCGTCCTATTAAGGTCTCGTCAGCCTGGTGTATCTACATTCCAGTGAGTGATGGGGTGTTCCCACTTTGATTTGAGTCCACCACCTATCCTTGTGACTCGAGAAATTTCAATTTCCGCCTGTTTGATATATATATCTGTCATCTTGAAGAAATTTATGTCTTCTGCATTCCTTTCATTAGACAATACCAATACAAAATTCGTCTTTAAGGTTTATTTATTCGTTGAATACTAGACACTTTCAATCGTTCACTTCAAACTAAAAGCCGCTTTCAAGTATTGGTTTGTAGGGATTTGGTTGATTGGTTACAGGATTTCATCATGAGCTGACATCAGTTAGAGAACCATTGGAAAACCACCTGGGAGTACTGGACAGCCGTTTCGTTCTGGTTTGGGACTCTTCATCAGTACGCACCCACCGGGGTTCGGTCCCAGGACCTCATAGTTACAAGGCGAGTTCGTATACCATTAAGCCACTGGGACCCAATCCAATGGTCCATGAATTCTAACTTCTGCCAATTCACGATATAGCCGCTTTAGTCTATGTGCTTCAGACTATGTTTCATTCTGTCTGATTTATAGTGCCATCGTGAGTTTTCGAAATGTCGTGCGAATATATATATATACCCTTATTAATATATCATTATTCATAATTATAGAGGCTAGGTGAATGCATATTTGATACTTCATACAGTTAATAGTGTTTCCTAAAACCCACTGAACTTTCCAAAATGAAGAAAAGTAACATCGAAATCCTGTGAATTCATTTTTACCCACTGTTTCTGTGTGAGAATATTCCTCTTTATTAAATAGCTTGATTACCTTGTAAGGCGTTGTAATTAATCACAGTTTAAAGCACATCATTTTACTCCGACAGTATCCATATATATCTGTATATCAGTTATCCTCTTTATACACAGTGTGTATCTTTTCCAGTTTTTAAAGCATTATTACTACGACATTATCGAAAGCCGGTATTAAAGTGTGTGTAAGACTGTAATCTGTTAAGTTCTATTCATCCAGACATCGAGGTTACATTCCATTATTATTATTATTTCTTTTTTCGTCTATCTGTGAACCACGCTTGAAATGCATTCACTTTATATATATATATATATATGCATATATAGGTAAACTGTACTTCTGTGTGTATAGTAAATGAAACACTGGTAACCTTTACCAGTCTATACAAATATATATGTTACATGGAAATCGCATTTATCTTATGTAATAATTGTAGACATTATTCATCAGTTCCTTTAATTTGCTAACTGACTATATTGTGAAGCAAATAAACTATGAATTGGCTACCTTGTAAATTACATTAAATTATGCTTAATCACACTTTCTTCCTTTTTATGTGATTTAAATTATGACATTACAATGGTGTAAGTATAAGACAGCACATATGAACACATATGGACACCTACACATGTCATAAATTATTGTACACTACCTTAGACACTGCCTAAAGTGGTGTATTGTTTATTGTTTAGATTAAACTTTATTACATTTTAGTTCGTATTTTTTTTTTGTCGATTAATTTTTCGCTAATGTGTTTTTCTTCGGTTCAAGATAGGATGACTAATTTTTTCTTTACTTTGAAAGTTTATGTCTGAATTTCAGGTTTTGTAGATTCGATGAGACTCCAGTGGATTACACTAGATGTCTTCTCCTTCACTAAACTTCTTTAATATACCAAAACTTTGTAAATTATTAGAAGTTATTTGGTAGGTGGTGACTAGCAGTGGAATCCTCCTGTTTGGAACTTGTCAGCTGGATGTTCCTGCATTCCGCAGTGAGTGATGATGTTCCCACCGAGGCTCGAATATGACCCGTTGCACAAGACGTGGTGGCTCTCATGGCCCAAGTGATTTAGTGGATAACGCTTTGGCTTTTGAAACTATGGGCACGGAGTTCGAGCCCCGGTGGGAACATCATCACTCATTGCGGAATGCAGGTACAGCCAGTCGACGAGTCCCAAATAAGGCGAAATGCGTATCCTGGATTCCACTGCTAGTCACCATCCATCAAGTAACTTCTAGTTACATGCCCAGACATCGTCGAAGCCCCTTCACAAGAGGCCGAAATGTCACCCTGAGACCAAGCACTTCGGTCCAATCAATCGATGGGAAAATCTAAAATTGAATTAAATAATTTGTAAATTATTATTGCACAACACTGGTAAACTGAAATGGCACTCATAGTGTTTTGGAGAACGTGTATTATTGGAAAGGTTTAATTTGAAACCCCGACGTGATCAAAACCGATTGTATATTAGCAAATACTGGATTGAATTACTACAGATTAGTTAAGTGAATCTAATGATGAATGAATCGATAGTAATTAACCTGCTGTCAGTTAGAGATCACTGAAAGCCAAGGAGTACTGGAGAGCTGTTTCATCCTAGCTAGGGAATCCTTAGCGGTTACAAGATCAATCTCGTTGACTATTCAGCCGATCGTGTTGGAATTCATTGATCAGTAAATTCTAATTTGATCATTTCGTGATCAGACGCCATCATGAACTGGTGGAAAATCCGAAACGAAGGTGAAATAAGTGTGCATAGGCCCCTGATTTAGTTTCGCGAAAAAAAACTTACATCAGAATGAATCCGAGTCCCTACAAATCCCATAATTTAAATATTAGCCTAATAATTGATATAATTACTCAGAAGTGGCTTTAGAAGTGAAAATTAGAAGTTGAAAATTACGTGGTACTCAACGGCAAAAAGATAGAAATTTGATAAGGTATTTTCGGTGATTTGAAGCAGAGCAAGAACCCTGTGACAGTGAAGGAACTTGATACGTTTCTTAAGTTTTCTGTCAATATTAGCCTAATAGTATAGTTCGTTTCTAGGGACCTGGCTTAAGGACCACGTCTTGTTCAGCAGGTAATTATACCTGTCACTAGAAAGTATTAATACACACAATCAACATGAAAGAAAACAGTATCCACTAAATGCATAAGTTTGAAATTCATAATAACTAATTAATCTACTGCTATCTGCCACAAGACTTGATAATGAATTGTCTATTACTAGAAGGAATGTCAATAATTTCTGACCTTCTCAACATTCACTAAAAATTTTATACTCCTGATCAAAATATTCATGAGTATATTTGATATTTCGTAATTCCTAACGATATATTACTATTTCACACCCTTTTAATGTATCTAGCTGACAGGGAATTGATTAGGAGTCGTTAGTAAGAAAAACTTGAATTTTGCATTTAACTTTCAGGAGGATATTGGCAAATCTAGAGGATAATGGGTCTCTTAAAGGATCCATTGCCTTAAATTCCAATATCATCCACTTCTTGTCATACAATATCAAGTTTAAATCTTGGTTATTCTTATTATAAACTATTTCCAGAAGACCAGTTTGACCAATAGGAATGTCAGCCAAGAATGCACACGAGCAAAGCGATTTGTAATTATAGACATGCAAACGTAAAAACATTCAAAATTTGACGGAAGTGAGTGGTGAAAATAAAAAAACCTGTCATGACAATCGTATATCACGTGTTCAGGAATTTGTTCTAGTAGAGATTTTTACTACTCACATATTCAACATACTTATAAGTAGTATAGGTTGGATTATTGAATAAATTTAATAAATATTTATATTTTTCAAGTTTGACGACAGATTGATTTCAGTTAGAGAAGCAGTGAAAACCTGGACGGCTGTTTCGTCCTCGTTTGGAACTCATCATCAGTACGCACCAACTGGGTTTCAAACTCTCAGTCTTTCAGTTAAAAGGCAAGCTCGTAGACCATTCAGCCACTGGGACCCGACTCAATGACTCAAACTAAGATGAAATAGCTGTCCAGGACTCCCTGGTTTTCAGTGGTTCTCTAACTGATATCACTCCGTGGTTAAGCTTGAAAAACAATTCAAATCCTTACAAATCAACTCTTGAAAATATTTATATATATTTATATCTTACTCTTTAGCTATTTCAGTAATATTTCCTTGTCCAATGAACAAAGCACATTTATCATGATATTCTTTATAAACCGACAGTGGGCTTGGAGCTTGAATTACTTGATCAGTGTATATCTAGATAAGATAAAATAATATGAATTAATAATAATAACAACAATAATATGCCATTGAATGAAAGGCAGTAAGGTGAACAAACTATAATGACAACTAATTGCAATTTATTATTTGTTGAGGTTACTTTGAAGCTCCTATTGATTGAATTTACTGCACTGAATAACTTGGTTTATGTTCACATGTCAAGTTATAGAACAGATATTTCGAAGACAGCTAATACCTGTTGCAAAAGAGGTGGGTCTCATGACTCAGAAACCTAGTGGATAAAGCTTCGATGTTTGAAACGATGGATTCCAGGCTACAGTTTCAGTATGGATACTGTCACACTGAGAAGCAGTCACATCCAGATGACAAGGCCATTATCAGTCAAATAATATTCAGAATTTATTTCAGTATACATTTACATTAAGTCCTTCAATACTTTATTCATTAGCTTTGAAAGAGTAAAAGAGATATTTTCGAATAACATATATTAGCTATAGGACGAAGGAGGGAACTGATATTGTTTAGTCTCTATTCTGGATTTTTCAACAGAGAACATGCAGCCTAATATAATATCAACTTTATGACGGTAAGATATCGTAGACATTAAGCAAGAGGATATTAATTTTTAAATGAAATAACGATACATACTCCCTCTTTCGCTGAGCACAACTAAGCACGAAGATAATAGTGTACAAAGGTATAGAAAGTGAAATGATGCTTTAAACATTACAGCTGACGTGAAAAAACCTAGCTGTCTATAATAAGTTTAGAAGACAATTCGAGATGTTCAGCCATAATGATTTTTTAACGCTTTATTCCTTTGAGTTCCCAGTGGAACATAGAGCTTCAAGCTTTGAAGTTTCAGTAGCAGTGGTGCTTTCCTTTATGGGATAGGGCTGCTAACCTCACGTTCAATCTTCCCTCTTTACCAACACAACATGGTTTAGAAGTGCGTCGACCAGGAGTCGACGTGGGTGATTGGTGGGCATTCTAACGCTGAATCACCAACCCACCCAGCCTTAATGAATTTCTACAGAATTTTTTAGTATTTCTCTTACTTAGTATGCGTACGTATTACTTATGGTAATAAATGAAGGCAGTATGATGTATGGAATCTTCTGAAGAATCAATGACAGCTTAGCGGTAACTGGAAAAGCCAATGTAAAAGAAACACGACACGAACAAGCAAATCATAATAAAGAGTAATGACTCTTTAATACAGAATAACTGTTATTATACGTCAGTAGTGAAATGAATGCAATATTTGTTAGCTTGATTATATTCATGGCAATTCTTTTTAATTAACCGTGCATCTATTCTTTGTAGTTTGCTGTAACTTCTAGGAACTCAGGCGAAACTTCACCACCAATGGCTCTCTGCTTCGAACAAACATATTCGCAGCAATAAAAGAGCTCAGTTTTCATTTAAAGACTTTTCTACATCTGCTGACAGCCTGAAAATGGTGTAATTTACTATAAACACAAAAATATGTAACATATTATGTAACAACTTATGTCAATTTTATGCTGTTATTGGAGGATAAAAAGCTGCAAAATAGAAAGCACGAGCTGTTTTTATGCAGCGGATATGTTCATTCTCTCTTCATTCCAACCAATCAAGGAAAGTGGTCGTATGAAATTCTCTGTTTTGTTCAAATTGAAACCTTTTCCTTCTACGGCATTCTACCTATCACCCCATTTGGGATCGAACACTCGAGACTCTGGTCTCAAGTAGCATTCATTGACCATGGGTCGGAATTCTATGGCCAACGAATTCTTATATCTGTCAATTCGCTCTATAGAGCCACTGCTACCCGGTAACATTTTCAAGTGTCTGTTTTCTCATCCAGCTTGGATGGACCCTGTGGGTTACAACTTCCTGTAAGAACCCCACGAAATCCATCCTACATTTAGTCATTAATGTATTTATACAACCAACTCAGCTTTTTTTAAAAATCCACCGACAGTTGAGCTATTTATTAGCAGGATGTGAACCTGAATTTTTCTCTTGATATGTCTACTTTCCGATAAGAAGACTCTAGAACATCTAGACATAGCGGCATAGTTTGAACTACAAGCTGCACGGATGAGAATAACAAAACTAAGACCGGCAAGGCAAGGCAGACCTTCATCACTCTGAAATCGGTTTGGAAATCTGCTGCACCCACCATAAAGAGCAAAAATCGGATTTTCAGTAAACGTCAAGTCACTTCCCTATGGTTCAGAAACTTGGTGCATCACAGAAAGCATTTTCAACAAGCTGGAGACTTTTATCAACAGCTGACTTCGCTACAAACTGGAGATCAGATGGCCATCGAGTAAGGATTAGCAAAAAGGGACTCTGGGAACGAATCAATCAAGGACCTATTGCTTAACAAATATGCCGTCGGATAAAGAGGTGGATAGGACAGACTATGGGGAGATCACTGAGGGACACTCTGCGCCATACCCTCGAGTGGGACCCGAATGAGAAACAAGGAGTTGAGTTATGATCTGAGAGCGACATGGAGGGGATGGTGTGAACAGTGGACGAAAGCTTATGGGAAATCATTGGGCCAGGCAAAAAGGACTTCAAACATTAGGACAAAATGGCGATATACTGTTACAGCCCTATGTTCCACTTGGAACCTCAGGAAATGATAATAATAATAATACTAATAATAATAGTATCTACTTTCAATCAAATAGAATTTTATAAATGACCTCATTTCAGTACTATTCAGTATTATTCGATTTTTAAAGGCTTTAATATTTGTTCATAAATAGTAGTAACTGTCTTAATTATTTATCAAATTAACGTTTATCTCAATAAAACAAAAATGAAAGATAGAGGTCAACATTAAATGTTGATTAATTAATCACAAATTTACTAACAATACTTGCAGTTATTTGTTTAAAACACTGTAAAACTGATTAATTTAAATAGAATTTTTATATGTGAATATTAAATCCATCATTTTTACATAAATTCTTATAAAGTTTCTAAATTTGTCCTAGTGAACAGACTATCTACCTGACTTTCTACTATAGTACTACCACTCAGACTTCTGTTTCTCGTGCCACTGAACATTTAACCATGTCTGAATAAGTCGTGTATACATATAAACATCAGAACACATAAACACCGTAAACAACATAGTTGTTTAAACTTTATATTGTATTTTATAGTCTAACATAATTAATTCTATCTGTTTACTTTCTAGCTGTGAAAAGGGAAGTTCATACTACCTGTCAAACACAGTTGATACAGGTTAAGAAACTATTGAATAATCTTTTTTTGGTTTTCAAACTTGGTTAATCGTTCTTAACACATTCTACTGTACATTTGAGATAGAATTTAAAAAAAATTGATTCTGTTATTAGCTTTTCTGTATGTTGATTTAGTTTATTCTGGAACCTAAAATACATGAAGGCTTTTGTTTAACTGAAACCTAAATATGCCTTATTTACAAGAATACCTTTGTTTATATGAATGAAAGAAACACGGCGGCCTGTTTAAATCATTGGGCTACCTGAATCTTTTATCCATCAAAATGCTTCATTTTTACTGCATTTCAAATTATTTTTAATCTTCTAATTACCAACACAGGGAGTCGTAATCTATACTAGCGTACAATTTCAAGCTACTTTCTGCCTACCACTAGGAACTTTTTAAGGGAAATCGAGGAAGAACACAGTGAAGTAGCGCTGAAGCATACTTTGGATGGAATAATATTACTTCAGATGACATATTATAGATTACTGTATTATTTGAATATTCTGTACAAGGGGTAGGTACTTTGATTTGGAACTCGCTGAAAATTCTGTATCATGTATTAAAACACTTAACAGAATAAAGGTACTATTATTAGATTATCTGGGTTCATTCTAAGTTTAATTCCCATTTAGCTGGTAAGTAGGTATTGGCAGAATGGCATATTAATTGACTTCAAACAATATGTGCGTCGGTAGCACAGCGGTTAGGACTCTTGCCGACCATGCACATGGTCCGGGGTTCGATTCCCTGCCGACGCACACCTGATATCAATGGTCGGCCTGCAAAATTAGGGCTACCGGTATCAAATGCTGAAAATTCCATACTTGTATCAAAAATACGGTGTGGAGTCAAGCTAAATAAAATATATAATATAATATATAGTCTCCTAGCCGCATGACTGTTACATTTTAAACTTGACTAATGGAATTCAGTCAACATTAGTGACTAGACAACATGTGAATAGTTACTCTTCCACTGAACAGTCGTCAGTCGACTACTGTATAATGACTGTCGTTAACGAAAAAAGCCTCTTAATTTAATTTTAGATTTTCTCGTCGATTGACTGGACCGAAGTGCTCGGTCTCAGGTTGACATGTCGTCTTCTTGTGCAGATGCTTCGACGATATCTGGGTAAGGAATTAGAAGTTACCTGGTGGATGGTGACTAGCAGTGGAATCCAGGATGCGCATTTCGTTCTATTTGGGACTCGTCGACTGGATATACCTGCATTGCGCAATGAGTGATGGTTTTCCTACTGAGGCTCGAACGCCAAAGCGTTATCCACTCAACCACTTGGGCCATGAGAGCCATTCCTATTTCAATCATTAAAAATACGAGAATTTGACAGTCGGCGAAACAGAACACTAAAAAGAAATTATTAGTAATCACATCAATAGGCGACAGAAAACAAAGGTTTTCTAGTAAAAACCATTAAAAATGACATTTAAATAAGTTTAGCTTAGGACGGAATACAAGAAATAAGTAGATCATCCTTTTAAAAATAGTCGATTAGAGATATTTATGCCGAAAACAAACTCTACATACTGGTTTTGTATGGACAATGGGGGGATTTTCTTCCTTTTCACACTTTTAAACTGCCTTTCTGGAAAAGTTGGACTACAAAAGGACCAAATGTCATTTCTACAGTGGGTGGTTGGTGCTCAGTACATAAAGTGTAAACAGTGAATGATTATTACGATCACAGATACTGATAATACTTTCATACTAGAAACGGTTAGGTTTGAAATAATATTCAATGT